CCCCCCCCCCCCGCGCCTGCCGGGGATTGAATTCAGGCCCTCCCACTTGTGAGGCAGGTGGCAGAACCACTGAGCCAAATCCCCAGCCCTTCCATCCTTTTATAACTATTACTGTCTTGCTTCATTACCATCTAAATAATAACATTTTCATTATTCTAGTCACAGTCATCAAAGTGTTTATAAATGACTTTCTGAGTTATTTGTATGAATATGAATGTAACCTTTACTGTGGAGTAAAATGTGTTAAAGCCCTGTTTTCTCACTGTTATAGAATTCTTCACTACTTGGCAAGAAATCAGAAAAGTTCCTTGAACATTATATGCAAAGCAATGTGCTTGATGTTGTGAGATGTGAAGGCTTCCTGTTCGGTAGTTGTTTTTGGAGTTTTTGCAGTCTCTTTCTCTTACCTGATTTTTCATCCTGTCCTAATATGATACGCCAGTTATCTTCCTAGCACAGATTTAACTTTGCTCTTTCTCTGTTGAAAAGAATTGCAAGGTTCCTCATTGTATAAATACAAGGCCAAATATGTGACTCAGCCACGTATTCAGGGTCTCACAATTTGGTACTGTTCTACCTCTGATGTGTTTTTCACACTTTCTAATCAGTGTGCTTGTCCTGGAATACAGTCTCTGCATTCCCACCTCCTTGCTTCTGCTTGAACCATTTCCCTTGAATAGAATACCTTCTTTCCAATTGCACAAGATCTGCCATCATTCAAGGTGTAGTGCAGATTGCCTTGCTTCTAAAAAACTTGCCTTGTATTTTACTTAGAATTATTCTTCTCAGACCATCTCATAACATTACTGAACTGACTAAAAAGATTTAGTTTCCTACAGAATGGTGATATTTGTTGAGAAGACAGGATCATATTCCATATATTTACCTATGAAGAATTCTAAACACAAATCCTCTAGGTACCCTTTTTGTTATTTTAAACTTTGGATTTCTGCTTTAAAATGTGTTCGAAATTGATTTTTAAAAAGCCTTTCTGTTAATAAGAACTAATTTATTGTCACTTAACTAACTGAAAAAGCAATGCTCTGTAAAAAAAGGGCCACTTCTAGTTCATTACCAAGTTTTTAAATGAATATATATCAAATCATTGGAGCTGATTGCTGACCAACATTGGTATAGTATTCCCTTCTTATTCACAGGGAATACTTCTAGACACCCAGTGAAAACTTGAAACATTGGCTAGCAAATTAGGCACAGTAGGAAATTAACAAAAAATAGCTACTAATAAAATAGTATAGTAATAACAATATACTATAATAAATTGCCAGCACCTCTATTCTTGTACTTTTTAATTTTTAAAAATTTATTTATTTATTTATTTTGTGGTACCAGCGATCAAACTTGGGACCTTGCACTTGTGAAGCAGGTAGTGGAACCACTGAGCTAAATCCCCAGCCCTATTGTTGTACTTTGAAGTCATTAGTAATTAAGAGAGAAGGGTTACTTGCAAACAAGGACTCTGATACTTTGACAGTTAATTTGATGATCGATATATTAGTGAGTGTCTAATGGGCAGGTAGTATATACAGCATGGATACACTGGGCAGAGGTATGATTTGCTTCCTGGGTTGAACTGTGAAAGATTTCATCAAGCCACTCAGAGTGTTGGACATTTTAAATCTATTCCTGGAATTTTCCTTTTAGTGTTAGATTCTGACTGAAGTTGATGTGAGTAACTGAAGCTGAGGAAAATGAAATCACAGAGATGGGGAGACTACTTTAATAGTAAGTGGCAGTGGGTCATGTTCTTTGGTGGCTTGGTAACTAGTTTTTCTCAAAGCCACGTACTTTCCATTGTTTACTAATCATTGGTTCTCATTTTTTTCTACCATAGTAATGTGTTTATAAAACTTATGAATTTATTTCTTTCAGCTATTAATTATACCATGTTTTCCAATAATTTGTATAGTCCTAAAAAGTTAAAATTTAAATACATATTTACTTATTAACAAAAAGATTATAGATAAGAAAGGACAATGATATAAATGCATATATGTTTAGGGTTGTTTTATAGGAATTGGACTTAGTTTGAACCTTTTGGGGGCAGGGAGAGTTTGACATTTTCTTGTAATCTTGTGGTTTTGTAACTGACTAGTTATTTGGAGAGTGCTGCATGTATATATGGTTGATTGAAATTTAGAATTTTAAAAAAGTTATTCTTTTCTATCTTATGTAACTTTGATTTTGTAAGATTTCTGTAAATCCAATTTCATGTGCTAATAATAGCTAGAAATCATTTTTTATGCAACTGTCTAATTAAAACTTTTAAAAAGTTTTTCATTTGACTAGTGGATTTAAAAGATCATATTTAATTAAAATAGTTTTACCAGAAGGAAAATTAACATTCTTAAGCCCTGGAGTTCACTTTGATGAGAAATAAAACCAAGTAATAGAGAGAAAAGTATTAGTTTTCATACAAAGAAAATACTCAGGAATAGACCTTTTTCCTTTAGTTGAACATATTTTTTTTTGGTTTCTTTTTGCAGCGCTGGGGATTGAATCCAGGCCTTGAGCCTACTAGACAAGCAATCTTAACCACTGAGTGTTACCCCCAACGCAAACTTCTTTTTCTTTTTTCTCTTTCATTTTCTACCACTGAACTACATCCTCAGCCTTTTTTATGTTTATTTCAGACAGAGTCCCACTTAATTGCCTGTACCGGTTTCAAACTTGCAGTCCCCTTGCCTCAGACTCTGAGTAGCTGATAATGACAGGAGTGTGCCAGCAAATGTACTTATATTCCTAAATGTAAATAAACAATCTTGTTGGAACAGGATTTTTGATTCAATAACTGCTTTGTGAGGGGAAAAGGTAACCAAAATTAGGAATATTACATACAAGCAATCTTCCTTTTGTATATAATTTAAAAATAGTGTCCCTTCCTAGTTTACCACACCCCAAATACATCTTTGATATTTGACTTCTTTTTGATTTTTTTTTTTTTTAAATTTTGAGACAGAGTCTCACTGTGTAGTCCAGGATGGCCTTGAACTCACTGTGTAGCCCAGGCTGGCCTTGAACTCACAGTGATCCTCTTGCCTCAGCCTCCTGAATTCTAAGTTTACAGGCGTGCACTGCCATACCTGTCATTTCTGATTTGCATGGACTGCTAAACCTTAAGACACTAAGAACTGGGCTTTGTGTAGATTGTAAACTACTATTGAACTATTCAGCACTTCCCATGGGAGTAGACTCATACATTTGATCCTTTGCCACTGTTAGTAACAGTGCTAAACTGAAGACTTGAAATAATCAAACTGTTCTTTTCAAGATTACATTTGTCTTAGTATTTATTTGCTTTGAAATTTCATGTGCTGGTTTTATGTGTTTTGGCTATTATTCTAGCTTTATATGATGGAAAAAAATATAAATGTTCCTCACTAAGAAAGGAGGTGTCTACAGTCATTACTCATTATCCAAGGGGGATTGGTTCCAGACCCTCATGAGTATCCAAGAAAAATGAGTCTGAGATTAATCATACTTTATTTTGTAGTATTTGTTATCTTTCATATTGACCCATATAATTTCAGATATATTTGGGAACCCTTTGACTGGTGGTATGCCTTCAGATTTATTTGGAATATATAGCTCTGTTGTAGTTCATCCTTTGAACATTATCTTGTTTATTTAGCTGGTTGAAAGTTTTTGTTTGTTTGTTTGTTTTCAGTTTTTTTTGTTTTTGTTTTTTTTGAGACAGAGTCTCACTATGTAGTTTAGACTGACCTGGAGCTCACTTTGTAGCCCAGGCTGGTCTCGAACTCATAGTGATCCTCCTGCCTCAGCCTCCAGAGTGCTGGGATTACAGGTGCGCGCCACCACACCCGGCTCTGGTTGAAAGTTTTCATTTAATTATTTGTTTATTTTGTATCCTTATTGCTTCTCGGCCTTTTGGCTAAGATCAAGTGTATTTTGTGTCCTCCAGGATCAAACCTATGTAACTCACTCAAGCTAGGTAAGGTGCTGTCCCACTGAGTTATACCCCCCAGTCCTAAAGTCCATAATAATATGTGCATTAGCATTTACACTGTTAATTATCCTTGTTTTATAAGCTAAGTTGACCTAAAATCTCAAACAGAACATTGATTGTTGCAGAGTTAAAGATTATAATAAATACCTGATCTTAATAGTAGTACATACTTCAGGATTATATATTGCTGAAGAACTTTATTTGTACAGCATGATATCTAGTAGGACTATTTTTTTTTCTCATTGCATTTATTGGTACATTGTAGGTATACAGTACAGTTACATTCATCATTGGGATCTTGTACCTTTACATGACAGGTCTTGGTTCTCATTTTTTCCCTTGTCCCTGCCCTCCCTTCACCCGCTCTAGTAGGACTAGTTTTCCATCTAATCTGTAGTACATTCCCACCTCTCCACAATGATAGAGAATAGGACTAAACATTATGATTAAGTTTATTTTATTAATTTGGGGTTGTACAATGTGTATTTGGTGTATATGCCAGTTGTTAATACTAAAACCATGCTCAACAGTATTAGAGATGGATAGATACCATATATATAACTTTGAGTTCATCTTTAATATGTAATACCATGCAGCAGCTTGGTTACATTATTGGTTTAGAGATTGAGTATATTGAATAAGGAATCAGGACTGTTATATATTGATTTAATTTTTTAAAACTTCTGATTTTTTTCTCTTTAATTTTGCCAATGATTTACTGTAACATTTAGATTATGTTAGTATTTAAAATTTTTTTAGTTTCAAAGATGTGTAAAATTCAAGTGTTAGTACTCAGTTCTACTTTGTTACCCTCAGATCAGATCTTTCCGCACTAGTTTCTCGTGTCAGTAATTTTTTTTTTTTTTTTTGAGTCAGGGTCTCACTATGTAGTTGAGACTGACCTGGAACTCACTATGTAGTCCAGGCTGGTCTCGAACTCACAGCGATCCTCCTGCCTCAGCCTCCCAAGTGCTGGGATTACAGGCTTGTGCCACCACACCTGGTTTAGTAATACATTTTGATATCAAAATATTTTTCTTGCCATTAGTTACGTCCTCATCATCTGTCACAATGAAATCTGGCTCTTTGTTATCTCAGGTTATCTCTGTAGGACTTTGTTTACTATACTCTTTGCCTTTCCTTGTATGTAATCTCATATACTCCTATATTTATGACATTCCTGATCTTACTATCTTATTCTTAATTTTGCATGTAATGTTCCATAAACTCACCATCTTTTTTCTGCTTTATCTTTCAGATAAAATGTGAGAAGTAGAAGTTTGGAGAGAGTAAGATATAGCGCAGTGGTAGAATACTTGCCTAGCACATAGGAGGCCTTGACTTCTATTCCCAGAACAGCAAAATAGACAGGATTAGGTGACAACCCACATTGAGTCCCTCTAAAAATGAGTTAGTGTCTATATACAGACATGTAATTTGACAAAAAATAGTTTCCCTGGGATGGTCGAATTTATCCAAGAAATGCATACTTTGGCATTCTACTTTATTTTGCCAATAATTACTATGTTGCATATTTGTTACTATAAACCCTACTCTGAATTCTAATGTAACAGAACTTTATTTTAAATGTTCTTGATTTTTTCACGTTTATTCTTGCTCAGATTGATAAAGGGCAACTATCTGGCTTGACACATTACAACTAAAAGGGATTTGGAGAATTTGAATATTACACTTTAAAATAAATTACTAGGATATGAAAAGTTAAAAAATATAGATGGCCTAATTTGGAGGTAAGCAAAGTATTTATATGTGGGTGTTACCAGTTTATAGAGATCTTTGAATGGATTCAGACCAAAAGTTATTGTCATCCGGGAACAGATAAATTCAAAGAAGCACAAAAGATGTAAATGTAACAATCTGTGCTCCATAAACAACAACAGCACCACACACACACACACACACACACACACACACACACACCCCCCGTCACCTAGTTTGCAAGCTTTTAACTGCCACTGGAGTAAAGTAGAGCCAAGTTTTCCTTGTACAGGGCCAACCTTGTTTGGCTACTATGATTGCTTACGTCAGGCAGTGCCTACATAGCCACCTTGCTCCATGAAGTTTCCCTATCTTGACTCTAATCAGATTCTTAAAAGTGAAGCAGTAAGCTGCATACTAACACCAGTTAATTTTTCTATATGCTTCTTTCAGTTTCTGGGATATAGAAAAATGATTTATCTCTCCCTCTTTTTGGTACTAGGTATTGAACCTAAGTCACTCTACCACAGATCTGTATCCTCCAAGCCTTTTGTATTTTATTTTGAGGCAGGATCTTACCAAATTGCTGGCCTCAAATTTGGGATCATTTTGCCTCTGCCTAACAGGTAGCTGGGATACAGGTATGTACCACCACACCTGGCTTTTATTTCTATATAGTCAGACCAAAAGATGCTGCTAACACTTAGAGTAGTGAGGTTTTTGAACCATTTTTGGAAGATACTATTAAGGGATGAATGTGTTTCTTGAAAATTATTAGTCATTAAGTCTTGTTTTTGGTACCTGGGATGGAACTCAGAACCTTACACTTTTGAGGCAGTGGTGACACCACTGAGTTAAATCCTGGGCCCAGTCATTAAGTCTTGGTTTTTTGGTTTTTTTTTTTTTTTTTTTGGCTTTTTGAGACAGGGTCTCACTATGTAGTTGAGACTGAACTGGAACTCACTATGTAGCCCAGGCTGGTCTCAAACTCACAGCGATCCTCCTGCCTCAGCCTCCCAAGTGCTTGGATTAAAGGTGTGCACCACCATGCCCGGCTCCCACTCGTTAAGTCTTAATAGAGGTTAAAGGTTAAAACTGAGAAGTGATCACTTCTTAGTATCCTTTCAAATCTATCATTTCCATTTCCTAGTCTTGTCATTAAATTTTCTTATCTTGATGAACAAATTTGTAATTTAATATTTGCAGCGTAACTGGTGTTACACTATTATACTCATATGTTTATATGTATAAGTATGAATATGTACATATGCATATATAGTGTTAAATATGTATTGGGTTTAACTCTGTGTAATATAGAACATGACTGAACACATTGTTACTAAATTAGAGAGTTCTTACAAAGTGAATCATGAGTCAAGAATTGCTTGTCAGAGTGCCAGGGATTTAGTTCTCCCGCCTGCTTTGAAAGCGCAAGGCCCTAAGTTTGGTCCCTGGTACCAAAAAAAAAAAAAAAAACCAAACAAACCAAAAAGAATTGCTTGTTTGTTCAGTAAATAACATTTTAAGATACAAAATGCAAGCCAGGCATGGTGGCGCACGCCTGTAATCCTGGCACTTGGGAGGCTGAGGCAGGAGAATTGCTGTGAGTTTGAGACCAGCCTGGGCTACATAGTGAGTTCCAGTTCAGTCTCAACTACATAGTGAGACCCTGTCTCAAAAAAAAAAAAAAAGTGCTACTACTGGGTTGTGAATGTAATGCAGCTCACTGGTAGAGCACTTGCCTAGCATATATGAAGTCTCATTTGGATCCTCTGCTTGGGGTCAGGGCATAAATGCTGTGTAATTGTTACAAAAATTGTTAATGTGACTATTTGGGGACTTCTTTTTTGAGAATAATAAAATCAAATTCCTCATAAAATACTCAATAACGTTCTGTCTTCTTGATGGTCTTAATTCTTTTAAAAGTGGTTCTTGGGGCTGGGGATTTACCTCAGTGGTTCCTCCACCTGCCTTGCAAGTGCAAAGTCCTGAGTTTGATTCCCAGTACCCCCCGAAAAGTGATTCTCTACATAGTTGTCAAAAGTATGTTGAAATACCTTAGTATTTTGCAACATCATTTATAATATTTACATTTTAATAAGATGTAATTGATATTTTAAATATTAGTAAATTTTGGAATTTATAACTTACATCGATGAGAAAATATTTAAATTAAATACAATTTAATTTCAAGATAAATAAGCCATAGTATCATTCTTTTTGTCAATTTTATAAATAAGAGGCTAAAACTTCATGGAATAATAATTGACAGTTTATTTGCTGTTGCGTAATTTAGATGCACTGTGGAGCTATTGTTCTGAATATCCACACTAATTCCTTTTAATAATGGTATTTTTGCACAGTGGACTTCTGAACAGAAGGAAAGAGATTTGTTAGATTAATAGCTGAGACCTGTCTTAAGTTATCGTTTCCTTTGTTGGACAAGAGAAGCAAGAAAAGAAATTGGAAGAATAATATTTTGTAGTTTTTTAAAACATGCCAAACTGGTTAATATGAGAACTTCATTTCCTCTGTAAACCTTTATCAGTATACCCAAGGCTAGTCTTACTGACTTCCTCCCTCTCACCTTACTGCTCTGTTCCCTGTTAAACCTCTTTCAGACTATACTTAATTACAGCAATGGGTATTTTTGTATAGTCTGGTTTGTGAGATACTTAGAATGTCATGTGGAAGAAGATTTAGGCTTTATTTTATATATATGGCAACTGAAGGAAGAACCAGGACAAATAGGTAGAAATGAAATATATGTTTAAATGAATGAACTTTCTAATGGGACTATCCAAAATTAGCATTACCTGTTTTCAGACTTTCCAAGGAATGGAATAGTAAAATGTTGGATTAACTAGCCTGGCGTATAAATGTTTATAAAACGATTCCAGGCCCTGTTGATTCCCTCCCCTTCCCCCCTCCCTCTAGAATGAACTCTAATAGAATGAACTTAACTATTTCTTCTTTTGACTTATCAAAGCATCATAATTTTTAAAGTACTAATAGTATACATACTCTGATTATTTATAATAGAAACTATTATGTGAAACTTGTATTTTAAATTATTGTAAAAAATTAAAGGGCAATTCTCAAATCTCTATATTCATATTCTTATTTATAATCCCCATGGAGACACTTAAGCCATCTGTAATTTTCTGTAGTGATTGACAGAACAGCAGTCTGTGGCATTAGCTGTGTGATTATGTACAGCTCGGGGTTACTTTAGGTTATTCTTTAAAAATAGGACTTCAAGCAAAGCATCTTGTGTTCCTTTTGCAGAAATGTTGCTGAAGTGCTGCTGAAAGGGCCAGAGATGCAAGGATTTGGGACACATTTTGAACCTTTAAGCTGTCTGACATTGACCTCCTTTCATTATTAATATAAGAAGAAGCAGGAGCTTAGAATGTATTAATACCAGTTCATTAATGTACTAACTGGACAATGTTCTGCAAACAATTCTACACTGTAAAGAACTGGATTGGCACAAAATAAGATAATTTTATATTTTGCTCAGCTTATAATATGACTCAATGGAGGAAAATTTGATAAGCATGAGGAAAGACCATTCTTTTCATGTTCGTTACAGGTAAGACTGTTGCTTTCTTAGTGGATAACTTTTAGTCCATATTTAAACATATATTTAATGCTGACCATTTTAGTTTTCAGTTTATTTTTGTTTTTTGGTACTGGGGATCGAACTCGGGTCCTTGCCGCTTGCAAGGCAAGCTGTGGAACCACTGAGCTAAATCCCCGGCCCCGTTAGTTTTCAGTTTGGAAATAACTCAAAATATGCATACATACATACATATGTGTGTGTGTGTGTCTGTATAGATGTATATATGTGTATATATAAGTTTGTATATATATATATATATATATATGTGTGTGTGTGTGTGTGTGTAGATAGATAGATAGATAGATAGATAGATAGATATAGCTGTAGTTGATATCTTCTGTCAGCAATATTTCCTTTTTGTTGTGGTAGTTGTTTTTGAATCCTTTCTATAGGAAAATGATTTGTTTGTTAATGCTCTCTGGAAAAGTTTATGAATAAGTAACTTCATATTTTGTAACTTATGTAATGCAAATATAAAAAGAGTATCTTTCGAAATCTTTGGGAGTAAAAGATGGATTTTTAAAATGTCAGCTGAGGACTTAATTTTTGTATTAAAGTTTTTAAATGGTGATCTTTCATAATTGAGCCATTTAAACATGACATATATTTAGTGAAAACAACAAAATAAGTATACCTGCACTATCACTGTTATTTAATATTTATTCTAGAAGTTCTGGTCATTGCACTAAACCATAAAATAAAAACAAGCAATTATTTAGTAAAATGATTAGATAATAGTAAATTCTTTGTTAAAACTGTTACAGGTTAATGATATAGACACCAGAATTTTGGAGCAATAGGTAGAATTGAAAACTTGAGTGAAAATGTTTGCTACCAAATCTCAGATGTCTTAATATATGACTTAATATATGTTTAGAATATAATGAGGTTCATCATCCTGTGAAATAGATTTGTTTCATGTTAGAGCATCGTGCCAAGGAAGTTTATATAGGTTGAGGTAAGAACATTTCTCTTAAAAACAAAGAAGTTTCAAATAAAGAATGGAAGACTTTCAACATAAGATGAGCTTTTAATATGAAATGTCCTTAGCCTACCCATGAGACCATATTTCCAAAAATCTGAAAGTTACATGTTTTCTTCCTTCTCCCTCTCTGGCATGGAGTATTGCCAGTTTGATTTCCTAGGTGTTTCTCAGATTCATCTGCGTCCTACCCACCCTGCTGTGGTTCAGGTCCCCAGGGTCTTCCCTCCAGACTCCTCACATTCTCCATTCTTACCTTCTAACAATCCACCTTTTTAATTTGCTACTAGAAGGATCAGTCTAAAAACAAAGCACTAACCAACCATTCAGTCTCTCTACTTAAAGCCTACAGTGGCCCCTATGTAGGGCAGAGCCAAGCTTAACATAGTACCCAAGATCTTTCATAGCTGGCTTCTGTCTGTTCCTTAGACCTTACTTCCTGCATTCTCTATTTCCTTGCACATTAAACTATTGCATGTCTCAGTGCTTTTGGTCATGCTACATCTTAAAAATGACCAGGATTCCCCTCCCATTTTATTTACTTACCTTCTACTTAGTACAAACATTTTACCTCGGAGATTATTTCCTCCTGGAAATCATCTGTAAACTCTATAGTTAGGCCGTGTCCCTTCTGTGCATATTTCTTTTTTAGCACCAGCTGTGTTAAAATTCGATGTTTTTATGGCTGTCTTTCCCTCCTTATGGCTCCTTTCGACTTTTAGCTCCTTAGGGCAGCCTTGGTGCATAGCATGTTGTCTGGTACACGTCCATTGAATTTCATTGGATATATCCATGATATGAACCATTAGAATGTTTATCCATCTTGCAGAACATCTTTGAAGAGTAGTCTGCTTCACTGTACGAGCAGTAGATGAGGAGGAGCAAGATGGTACATTTCCTGAGGGAAGATCTAAGATTTGTCCTTTCCCACAACACAGCACAGGTCATCATGCACATTGCTACAGGACTTCATGAATTGGAAGCATACAAATTTATAACTGCCTTTGGTAAAAATATACTGAACAAATCCCTGGCTTCATCAATACTCTAAGACCCAGCATTCTGGGTTTTTATTGGATTGTATAATTGTGGGTACTGATTTGAACCCTTTATGTTAGGTCTACTATAGTAAACACTTAGCATAAAGTGTTTTATCCATTTGATTCTTTCATGCTCGAGATCTTCAGCTATCCCTGGAGGAGTTTCCATAGTATAATGATTTTATACCTTTGAAGTGGAATGTTTCCTTGAATACTAGGAAATTTCCTAAGGGACATAGAATGCTTTATGAAATAGTTTGTACCTTTTTGGGAGGTAGACATTGATAGCAAAGTGCAGTTTGTTTCTAAACTTTTAAAGTATGATTGATTTAAAGAATTACTAATTTTTTAGGTGTGATAATGTTTTTTTTAAAGACTCATCTTTTAGAGGTATTTACTAAGATATTTATAAATGAAATTATATGTTGTCTAGAATGTACTTCAAGATAATCGGGTCGGAGCAATGAGGATAAGAGTAGAGATGAAAACTGTACTGTATACCTAAAATGTACCAATAAACTCAATGAGAAGAAAAAAAAAGAGTAGAGATGAAGTATATACTGACAGTTTTTTTATTGAGTTTATTGGTACATTTTAGGTATACAGTACAGTTACATTCATTATTGGGATCTTGTACCTATACTGACAATAAATATATCAGTAGTTGCTGAAGTTGAAAGATGGATGCATTGTGTTTATTACACTAGTTTCTCTAGTTTTCTATTTCTTTGGACATATTCTTCATAATTGTTACCAGAAAGAATAAACATTTCAATACATTAGTAGTGTAAAAATAAGACTTGCTATACGTTATAAAGAAATGCAATTTTGGGATTAAATCCTTTAATTTTGTTAGGAAACTGTAGTTGTTAATAATATTCTTTCCTGAAGAATAATTTGAGGTAACGTGGAGTGGTAGAAAAAGCATTGAGTTTAGAAGCAAAAATAAAATTTCATTTCTCAGCTTTACCATCACTGACTGTAATCAGGTCACTTAACCTGTGCATTAGTTTCTCTTTTGTAATAATGATACCTGTCTCAGTGTTAGAATATTTTAGAATTAAATTTAATATGTTAAAATCACTTTTAAAACTGTTACCATATAAATCTAGATAATTTTGTGTTACATTTTCTTTTACAAGATGAACTAGAACAGTTAGATATGTGTGGTAAATTTGAATGGATGAAGAATCATTTATTGGAACTAAGACTGGTGATGGAAAACGTCTGTACCCAATGAGAAAACATAGAAGGTGAAGGTAGGGTCTTACAAAAGGTGATTTCATGCTGGAGAACTTGAAGAGTACTCTTTTTGTTTTGGATCTGAAGTCCTGAATCCCATCATTTATTCTTAAGATTTTGAGGAAGAATCAGATTGGACTTTACATAATCAGTATTACTGGATCTTTAGAAATTAAATTGCATCAAAGTTTTAATCTTGTTTTGCTTTTTATTGATACCTGTGAACACAAGAAACCAAAATTAAGGAGATAAAGAAGGTTGTAAAGCTTAAAATATAGATTAATGAAATTCAAATAAAATTTTTGTGCAAAAAATTATGCTTAAGATATCCAATCCATTTTTAGCAAAAATGAAAACCTTTCAGTCAAGGATACTAATGTTTATTTCTAGTTATTAGTGATACAATTTCTTTGTGCAATTAGATAAGACAGGCCACTAGGAAGAACAGAAGAAACTTTATATGTGGGATATATTTTAATGGAGAAGTATTTTCCTGGCTTGTCTTCTGTACCTGGTTATATTCTTTGTTTTCAGCCCAACCAACAGGTAAACAAATGAAGTAATTCTATTCTCCCATAGCAGCAGAAAGGATATAAAATTACTTTTCTCTATTACTATTTAATGATCTTCTAAAAAATTTATATGCTAACTTGCTCTATTTTGCAGTTATATGTATTTGCTTGAGATGTTGGTATTTTGCCAGAATATTGACTTCTTTTCTAATAAAATATAAAGTCATAATATATCTCAGAATTAATAATAACCTAGGGATTTTTGAACTTTATTTTGGGGACTAGTTACTGACATAACTTTCCTAGGTGTTTTCTGTGTTGGAAGTCGTGCTTCTTGGACCTGGCAGACAGCATGTAGCCAGCAGGGCTCTAGTTTGCTATCATTGTTTCTAATGACAGTTCTTTTTTCAAAATGTGTAACTCTTATGAAACCATTCACCAGTAAAATTTAGCTATCACATTATTTGAGTTGATGGTTCCAGTATAATGTATTAAATTAAAAGGTATTTATGGTAAAGTTACTTATTTGAAGAAGACATTTTTGGGGCCGGGGATCTAGCTCAGTGGTTCCAGTGACTGCCTCGCAAGCTCAAGGACCTGAGTTTGATTCCCAGTACCACCAAAAAAAAAAAAAAAGTTGCATGAAGAAGACATTTTTCTGCCTTATATAGATATAGAGAAATGCTTTAAACTCCTTATTTGTACATATAAATGCCTTAAACAGTATATAAATAGCCACTGATGCTTCACCTGCAACTTCCTGGCCAGGAACTCAGTCATCCTGAACTGAGGGTGCTGCTGTATGCGACAGTCCTTTTCTCTTCCTCAGTGAAATGACATGCAGTGCATGGCAGCGTGTAATTTTTTTAAATCATTACTGTATTGATGAACATTTAAGTTGTTTGCAGTTCTTTGCTGCTATAAATCTTTCGTGTACTGTATATCTTTTGAATTTGTATAACCGTACCCTTAAGATATATTCCTATCAGTGAAAATATTTGATATATAATTTTCACATAATTGGAATGCTTAATTTTTTTTTTTTTTTTGGCATTTTGAGACAGGGTCTCACTATGTAGTTGAGACTGCCCTGGAACTCACTATGTAGCTCAGGCTGGTCTCGAATTCACAGCGATCCTCCTGCCTCAGCCACCTGATAAATTTTTTAATAAGTATTTTATATATTGAACTATCTTTTCCAGTTTTAATAACATTTCTTAGTTCATTCGTTTCAGTATCTAGACAAATAAAGACAAATGGTTCAGATACTTAGAAAAAGAACATTTAATAAAAATCATATTTATATATAGCAGGTTTTTTGCTGGCTTTTTTAAATTTATGCACAGAATATACCATTATCCCCAGACAATCTTAAGAAATACACATAAATTATTTCTTTCAAGAAATTCCTTATTTTCAAACAATACTTCCAGCTGGGCATGGTGGCACATGTCTGTAATCCCAGCACTTGGCGTACTGAGTCAGGAGGATTGCCACAAATTGAGGCCTGCCTGGGCTACATAGTGAGTTCAAGGCCAGCCTGGACCAGTGAGACCTGTCTCAAAAACAAGCAAAAAAAAATACTTCTAAAAAAGGACAGTTTTCACTAGTGAAATGAATAATTTTTACTTGTGAAAGACAAAAATAGGCTTTATTAATTGAGAACTGATATGTTAAGGAAACCAATTTAAGATTTCTTTTTGTGTGTGGCTGTGGAGTCTCTAGTTTAATATGAAAAGATTCTTCTACTATACAAGAAACAAAAATATCAGTTTACGAGTTCTACACCCTCCTCTGTAACCCCCTTTCAGACATATCAACAGTATCAATGTCCTTCATGGACCTAGAAAAACTGTTTTTTCCTCCTAGCGAAATGTCTAGTTGCAAGACTGCTGAAATAAGAGCATCAATCTATATATCTTATATTTATATACTTTGAGGAAGTAGGGTAAAAGATTTAAGATTTCCTATTTAACTGACTTATATTTTAGATCTCTCATGTCTCACTGGTTTCATCTGATGTTAAAGCAAAATGTTAAATAGAGGTTTACTTCTATTATTCTGCATAGATCCTTACAAAATGAAGGTGAAATCACTAGTCTGTGAACATGTAGTAGTCATTGACTAACTCAGTTGAACTGATAAAAGAAAGAAAGAAACCTGGTATGGTAGCCCATGCCTGTAAATCTCAGCACTCTGAAAGGCTGAGGGAGGAAGATCACAAAGTTCAAGCCCCACCAGGGAAATTTAGCAATTTAGCAAGACCCTATCTGAAAGTAAAAAAGAATGAGGATGCAGCTCAGTGTACAGGCTTTGGGTTTAACGCATAGTACCACACCAAAACAAACCTTGGATATAAAAATATGAAAACTCTCTATTATTCTGCCTTTTTCTGAACCAGGAGTCTGCTTTGAATCTTTGCGATTGGCTCTGTTTATCTTACTCCATACTTTTTCTTTTAGCTTCATCAGATTTATTTTCTACTTTTACAACCCCATTTTAATTTATGGGTCTAAGGCACCTTGACATTTTCATAAACTGAAAGACAAAACCTAAAGAAACATGTTAATTGACTTGCTATTAGATACAAAAGCATAATCATATCTGAATGACAGTAGGGTGTATGATAGTTTAATTCACATTTCCTATTTAAAACAATGATTCACATCCCAACTTGTACATTAGAATTTCCTGGAAGCTTTTAAAAAATACAGATGGCCAGACCTCACCCAGAGAGTAGGACCCAACACCAAGAATTTTAAAAAATGCTTCATACAAGCTCTGCTGTTGTGCAGCCAGAATTAAGAACCACTGCTCTGTTCGAGTGACTCAAAGCTAATTCTAGTGAGGAAAAATTGAATTCAGTTCCAAAAATTTAAGTTTGATGAGCTTAATCAGAATTTTCAGAGGATGAAATGTATACCACTAACTAGTGAGTCATACATAAGATAATTTTACATTTAAATTTTAATGGTTACATATTTGTTTAATGTTCATTAGAAAATAAATACAAATATCACACCAAATTTGCAGTTGCCTGCATACTAGTTTGGATAAAGACTTTTCAGTGACAAAGATAGTGTGCCAATTTAAAGAAAATTTGCTAAACTGTAAGTGTATTAAGTGAATAGGTGGTACACAGATACGGCAGAAGTCATGAAGAAAAAGTGGTGAAAGGTACCTTCTAAAGTTTAGAGTTAGAACATGAAGTATCAGTGTTTTTTTCTCCTGAATATTTTCAGTGAGTCCATTCTTACATTTTTTTCACTGGAAGGGACAGATTTTTGAGAATTATAATTTCTATACATCTTTAAATTATTACTAATGACGTTTCTTGACACTTAGTGGTCTTGTACAGTATGCTTTGTAGATCAAAATATTTTGCTCTATTTTAGAGTTGTAAGAGAAGGAAGGAGAGTATGTGTGTTATGTGTGTATGAGATAAGAGAAAGGAGAGGGTAAGTAGATGGATGAATGGATGGTAGGAGGACTTATGGACAGGTGAGGGATACCTGCATAGAGAATAGTGCTGTAATACCACTCCTTCCCTTGTGCTCCTTCTTCTCCCCAAACCCTTGGGAAGACCATGGGTCTGCCACACTCAGTAGTTTAGGAAACACTGCTTCATCATCTCTCTGTAGTAAAGTGCATTGCTCTAGATGATCTCCATATGAAGATATCCATCCTTCCTGTACAACAGACCTCTGAGGCTATGAGAAATCTGAACAGACACATTAGCTCTTGCTACAAATAACAGTTTGCTATTTTATCAATTATATAAATATATTTCAATTAAAGGGGCATTGTTCTGAGCAAGAGTAGCCATGTAGTTCATACTTAAATTATATTGCTGGAATTTCAGAACATTGTGATATAGTTATAATGCTGTGTTGTAAATGTCTGTCCTTACAGAATGGAAGCTTCTTGCCTAGAGCTGGCCTTGGAAGGGGAACGACTATGTAAATCAGGAGACTGCCGTGCTGGTGTGTCATTTTTTGAAGCAGCAGTTCAAGTTGGAACTGAAGATCTAAAAACACTTAGTGCTATTTACAGCCAGCTGGGCAATGCTTATTTCTATTTACATGATTATGCCAAAGCATTAGAATACCACCATCATGATTTAACTCTTGCAAGGTAATTAATGTAAGCTTTTTAATATTTTTCCTCCTTAAATTAATTGTTACTTTAAAAAGTACTTCCATTCAATTAAGAAAACTAAATACATTTAATAGCATTGCTTTTTTTTTTGGTACTGGGGACCGAACTTGGGCCCTTGCACTTGCAAGGCAGGTGGTGGAACCACTGAACTAAATCCCCAGCCCAATAGCATTGCTTTTGAAAACTAATCTTTAGGCTAAACACAGTTTAACTGAATGAACAATAGTAAAATGACTCGAGTTTAATTAAATGAATGAAAATTAATTTAAATACACAAATGTTAAGTTTCACATTTTTATTTAAAGTATATACAAGGGCTGGGGATTTAGCTCAGTGGTTTTGCCGGCTGCCTTGCAAGCGCAAGGACCCAAGTTCTATCCCGTCCCCCAAAAAAGAAAAGAAAAATCTAAAGTATGTTTCAAAGCTAATGAGTCTTTCTGACTTCAGGCGTGTCACTTGTCCTCTAGGAGAACTTTAACTGTGGGCTGCTTTACATTTTAATGCCATTTGTATTTTTAACACCATTTGCCTTATTCCCTCAGGACTATTGGAGACCAGTTGGGAGAAGCCAAAGCTAGCGGTAATCTGGGAAACACCTTAAAAGTTCTTGGGAATTTTGATGAAGCTGTAGTTTGTTGTCAGCGACACCTAGATATTTCCAGACAGCTTAATGACAAGGTAATAAACTTTAGATGGTAGGCCAAAAGCCAAATATTTTAAAGGAATTGCTTTTTATTACTGTATTTATTCTGTATTTTATTTAAAAAAGAAAGTGTTCATAGACAAATAGTAAAAGATAAAACAATAAAAAATTTAAAATAGAGATTCTTCTTTCATAATAATGATTTGTTTGGTTCTGGATAGATGGCCATTGTAGAAATTTCTCTCTCCTGAGCTGGATGGACATGGTGGTGGCAAATGCCTATAATCCCAGCACTCTGGGAGTTGGAGGCAGGAGGACCACAAGTCACTCCCACCCGGGGAATTTTGCAACATAACAAGACCTTTCTTAAAATTTAAAAAGGGGTGGGGATATAGCTCCACATGAAGGCTCTGGGTTCAATATTTAATATTGAAAAAATAAAAAAACCTTTCTCTTGATAATAGTATCAAGGATATTTGTGGGGGGAGGAAGGAGAGAGAGAGAGACAGAGACAGAGACAGAGACAGAGACATGAGTATTAATACCTGGCCTCTGATTTCAAAAATGTAGACTTTTCTGATTTCTTCTAGGTGGGAGAAGCAAGAGCACTTTACAATCTTGGAAATGTGTATCATGCCAAAGGGAAAAGTTTTGGCTGCCCTGGTCCCCAGGATGTTGGAGAATTTCCAGAAGAAGTGAGAAATGCTCTGCAGGCAGCAGTGGATTTTTATGAGTGAGTAAGGCTGATGGAGTCATAGGCCCCCCTAAGCCATGGGCCAATATATATTGTTTACCCAGTAGTAAGTTTTTAAATTTGGGAAAAGTTTTTAAATTACGGAGTAACAAAAATAATCTGTCAAATCAATTGCTTAAATGTTCATGTTGTGTTGGTAGTAGTAATCTTCAGCTTTCATTTAAAGTGCAGACCAGTACCCCTTAGTGGCAAAAACAAGAAATATCAGTGGATGTCTAATTTATGTAAATTATCTTTGCCCAATAGAATTTCATAGAACTTTTAAACAATAGCTGTTCCAAAACAAAAACAGTAGCGGTTCCAAGATGAATTGTCTTTAACTCTGCACAGGAATCTACCTGAATGGTTCAGACAAATATTCTTGGTGATTTCCTATAATCACCCTGTGTCATAGATTTATCATAAAAATGTTACACATTATTGCTCTAAGCTTCCTTGAATTTCTTTTTCAGATATAAAGAATTAGATCTATGGCTAGGGTGTGGCTCAGTGGTAGAGTGCTTGTCTGGTATATACAAAGCTCTGGTTTAATCCCAAGCCCTGGAAAGAAAAAAAAAAAAAATCTATAAATCAAATAAGTAAGAACTTTTGCCTAACATTTTTTCTAACCATTTTTTGTTTCATTTAGGGAAAATCTATCATTAGTAACTGCTTTGGGAGACCGAGCAGCCCAAGGACGAGCCTTTGGAAATCTTGGCAACACACATTACCTTCTTGGCAACTTCAGGGATGCAGTTATAGCTCATGAGCAGGTACAAATGGAAAGCCGTGGAGCCAGATCAGTTCCTCCATTGAAGTTCTGAACAGTGATTACATTATCCCAGTTTTATTATAGGATAAGTCTAATAAAATTTTTCTGTTTTAGCGTCTCCTTATTGCAAAAGAATTTGGAGATAAAGCAGCTGAAAGAAGAGCCTATAGCAACCTTGGAAATGCATATATATTCCTTGGTGAATTTGAAACTGCTTCCGAATACTACAAGTTAGTCTAATATTTCTGTATATAAATGTAAAAATGAGTAGTTATACATGCCCACTAAGTCATAAGCTTTAAGTTGAAAACCTGGTTTTTGATGCATACTAGCAATAGGACCCTGGATTTTTAAGCCTTCGTTTTCTCACCTGGAAGAGAAGACAGCAATATCTTGACTTGGAAATTGTAGTGAAGATTGAATGAAAGATGTATTGAGCATTTAGCATCATACCTGGCACACTGCTCAGTCAGTATTATTCTACCTGAAATTATCACATCTAAGATTTAGTAGCCGTATGACCCCATTGATTATTATTCGTATTTTAATCTTTAAAATTTAACTGTTCTTAGCTGGTCTTGGTGGCACACATCTGTAATCCCAGCACTTGAGAGGCTGCAGCAGAAGGATTTTGAATTAGAGGCCAGCCTGGGCTACATAGCAAGTCCCTGTCTCAAAGAAAGAAAGAAAGAAGGGTCAGAAGAGAAGCCAGAAAGCCTGGCAATAGAAATATGCCCTAATCTCCACCAGTGGCCCCTGAATTTTTTTCTCCTCCATCCCACCCTCTGAATGAGCAATTCTCCCACCTTCTTTCTTCCCTACTTTCACTCTGATGGCCAAGGGCCCATTATCTCCCTGGGAGTTAGCAATCCCAGTTTCTTCTGTGATACGGTCTTTCCGGTATGATCAGGCAGCTTCAAACATACACTGTAGCAAGGATTAAACAGCTCCTACTTGCCTGGCTTGTGCTTTCTAGATTGAGTTTTCCCTACTTAGTTAGCTTTGAAAGCTCAACCTCAGGAAAATCTGGTGTGACTGAACCCAAGATTCAATAATTGTAAAGATACCAAGGTGAGATTTCTGAATAGTTTGTCAATTTTAAAAAAGAAAGATATCATTTTAATTCAAAAAATCAAATAGCATCCCATCTAGCTTTAAATATTGACTCATAGTTAATATTTGTTGGTTAATTAGATATCCTTCCAGATAAAATATGTCAGTATGTGAATATAGTATATGTTTTAATTTTAAATATAAAAGTTTCATATATTTTAAAGCCAAAGGATATAAAAATTCTCATTAAATGGTGTACTTATGGTAAATGCTGAAAAATTCTATTATAAACTGGATGGTGGCTATTTGACCAAAGAAGCATGAGTATAGTGAAACCTACCATTTTCCCCCAGAACTAGAATTTATAGACTCAGAATATATATATATATA